GGACACAACAGGACCCAGTTGCAAAATAATTCTGCGGAGTGAAAGAAGCCAGACTGAAAGGACGCGCTCCGTGTGCTTATATTACACAAAGGAAATTCTAGAAAATGCAAATAAGTCTATAATAACAGAAAAGCCAGTTGCCTAGAGATGAGGGAGAGGGGCTGGGACGGAGAGGGAGCCATCCCAAGAGGGTGACGGGGGTGTCCACTCCGCTGACCATGGTGCCGTGTGGTGGCTGTTTACACGGGTCACATTTATCACTGTTCACTTCAGACACATAGAGTTGGCTGTATGCCAAATCCCCTCCATAAATGTGTTAAGAACAGAGAGACTTCTAGCAGACGGGTTCCCCAAGGGGAGTTGTGGTTTGTGGGGAAATCAGAAGCGTGGCCCGGTGGAGGCCCAGCCAGGGGCAGCTCCAGAGTCGGGGGGCGCTCGGGATGGACACTGATTCTCAGGGTGTCAAGGGGGCTCTTTCAGCGCAGACGTCAGGCCCCCCTTGGCCTGGGCGTGACTCACCCCCATTCAAGTCGTATGTAGCACGTGTCAGACGGGACGCTGGGCTGGTCCAGGCCCTCCCTGCTCTCTGGGTGTTTGGGGTGAGGGCCCCACAGTGCCCCTGCGCCGTGGGAGTGCCCTGGAGACCCAGGGAGCCGGAGGCAGGTGAGTTCTCTGGGGGCTGAAGAGGGAGTGGAGGTGGAGGGGGAAGGACAGGCAGGCGCTTCTGGGAAGCCGGCCAGAGAGATGGGGGCAGAAACTGGAGCCCAGGCGGGGGTGGGGGGCGCCGGGCAGACTGTCCACTCCGCCTCCTGCTTTGCTAAGCACCTAGCCGGGTGCCGGGAAGGCTGCAGGCCGCTGCCCACCGGGAGGCTGGGCCGGGAGCGGTGAGCCAGCCTGAGCGCGGATATTCCATGGATGCCCCCTGTGAACCACGGGCTGCCCGTGGGCGAGCTGAGCCCACTTGGAGGAGGAGGAGGAGGGTGGGGACTGGGGAGGCCACATCCTCGGGGGACCCACTGTCCTTCCTAGTGGGAGCTCTCTGCCCGTCCTCTACCCGTCCTGACCTTCTGTCCAAAACGGGGAGGGGAGACCCTGCGGGCTCCTTTTCTCTCCGGAAGCCTCCCCTGGGCTCTGAGCCGGCCAGTCTCACCCAATCCCTCTGAATCCAAGCTCAGTCTTGGCTTGGGGTTGGTTGTAGACCCATGACGCCATCTTGCTTCTGAGTTTACAGAGCCAGAGGGCCCTGGACAAAGGAAGGCGCGCCAGCTGGGAGGCCCCCTCCTCCCTACTCAGAGTCTCTGTCGCTGGGCCAGCCTCTGGGGTCCTCCTGACCCCAGCCGTCACAGAGTGGAAGACCAGTGGAGGCCGGAGGGTCAGTGAGGAGGGGAAGAGGCAGGAACAGATGAGGGCATGTTCAGAGCAGGGGACCCAGGGGCCTTACGTGGGAGGGTCACTACAGAGTGGGCAGGGCCACTTGAGAGGTCTCAGAACCCACAAAAGAGCAGTGAGAAGCCAGCCCTGGCTGGCCCCTGGTGCTGAGACAACTCGCTGAGGGAACCAGACAGTGAGGTTTCACGCCTCACCACCTGGCCAAGGGGTGTGCTGGTGGCTGACCTCTGTAGACGAGCCGGGGTGTGAATGCGGGTGGAAGGGCTCAGGCCCCGGAGGGCCGAGAGAGAACAAGCCGCAGTTGTCCCCGGTGGGGTATTCAAGCCGTCGCCCCTGGGAGCCTGGCAGGCCTGCAGTGAGCTTCTGCGTCAGCCCAGCCACTGAGCAGAAAGACGGTGCAGTATTTCATCTCTGGGCCAACCCGAGTCTCTGAGAAATGGCACGTAACTGCTGCTACGATTTTTAAAAATACTTATTTTTATTTATTTATGCAGACAAGAACTGGGGTGCGGACCAGAGTTCCGGTGGGTGAGAGTTCACCAGAGGCAGAGCAGGGAGCGGAACAGGCGGATCTACTGAAAACCACTGCTGAGGGGAGCAGCGGGGGGCAGGAGAGGTCTGCTGCTCGCTGGGGCCTCCCTGGTGGTGCCAGGGGTATTTCCCCTCTAGCGGTACAGCCGAGGTAAACAACACCCTGCAGGACACGGGCAGTGGCAAATGAAAAATAACCAGGAAGGGTGACGCGTGAACACTCAGCCCTCGCCCTAGCAGAATGCATTTAGCTGTAAGTCTGAGCAGTTTAAGTCTTGGTAACGGCTAGGCTCACAGCAGCTAGAGAATCCTGAAAGGCAGCCTCAGGTGCAAGCGGACCCAGCCGCTGGCCCCACCCGCAGGCGCCCTCCCCCACCACGTGCCCCTCGAGGCCTCTGCCCCAGGCTGCCCCTGCAGCCTCCCTTCTTGGCTCTCAGCCACCACCCTGTCCCCTCCCTGTCCAGGACCGGCCACCTCCCTGCCTTCAGCCGCCACTCCGCCAGCGGCTGTCCCCTCCTCCACCCCCACCGGCCAGGGTGCCTGTCCTCCATGCAGCTTTCCTCCGGGCTCCAGAGCCTTCCCGGGGGCGCGTGTCCTGTAGCAGCGTCTGCTTCCTCCCTTGGTTTCCCTCCCTTCCACTCCCAGGCTTCAACTTCCCCCTTGAAGCGAGGACTCCTGGGGGGGGGGCTCTCTGGGCTGCTCCTCTCAGCCCCCCAGCTCCGCAAGCGTGTGCAGGGCCCTGCCCTGAACCGCGGCCACCGGCCAGGGCCAGGCATCTCCGCGAGGACAGAGGAAACGGTCACCTGTTGAGAGCGTAGCGACAATGCTCTGGTCTTTGGCAAAGTGGCCGGCTGGGCCCCAGACCTGCGGCTTCGCTGGACCGCTGGTCTAGGGGAGTGCGGGTTCCTGATGTCACTGCCCCAAGGCCCCTCCTGATGAGCACTGTCTTGTCCGGATGGACACCAGGTCTTGTCCTGCTTCCCAAGACCTCTCCTGTGGGCCCCTGAGATGAGACCCCCGAGGACAAGGCCCCCACCTTATTTACGCCTCCCAGAGGTACAGGTCGTGGGCCTGTCTCTGCCCTGCGCGCCGTGGCTGTTCCAGGACCTGTGAGAAAGGGCCCTCCTGACCTCACCTTCCCTTGTGGTCTTTGGCCCAGGCTGCACGCGACGAGCGCGAGTTAACAAAAACCTCAACACTCCACTCCCGAAGCAGGCCCGCGCGCCCGCTGAACCGAACTGAAACTGAACCGACCTGAGGTTGTGCAGTGGAAACAGCCTGAAAGGTTCGGCTCTGAGCCCCGGCTCGGGGGTGCGTGTGGGGGGTCGTGCTCGCTGGTTCGGTTTCCCAGTTCCTCCTCCCTCCTCACCCTCCAGCCAGTGGGACAGCAACAGACCTGATGGGACTAGAGCTGTGGCCGACTGCCCCCTGACCTCGCGGGCACACCTGGCCAGCCAGCCACCGGACCCGCCCGCCAGAGCCGCAGGTGACACAGCGCGTGGTTGCCAGCCGCCGAGTCCTGGGCCTTTGCCGGGCAAAGCGGGCCTCTCCTCAGCACAGCTCGCCCCGTGCTGCAGGGTGAAGGTTCAGGCCGGCGGGTCCTCTGCGGAGGAGGACTGGGGACCGGCCCGCCACGTGGGCGTGAGGCACGAGGCAGTCACCCGGCATACAAACTATCAGGTACAAAGCTCAGTCACCAAGAGACGTCCCACTGTAATGCAACATGAAAAAAATCAAACCGCACGCTGGCGGGCACCTTTGGTGTTTTAGTGGCCGTGGGCTGGAGGAGGGCGAGGCAGGAAAGGGAGGCCCGGCCGGCGCAGGGAGTCCTGTTTAACAGGGTCAGTACGTTGTCTGTCATGGAATGTCCCCGTCATCTGTGTTTTGCTTTTTGTTAGCTCCTCCTCGAGCTACCGGGTCTTTGACGTCTGTCTGTCTATGTACCCTGCCAGGATCCTAATTGCGGCTCCTGCATTTACATGTCGCGTGAGTGGAGCAGATGGGATCCATTCCCAGTCATGAGCAAGGGGCCGTCACCAGAGAGAGGGGGTGAGCGTCAGGCGGGGAGGAGCCCACCCCGGCATCCCGGGGGGCATGAGAACCTCTCCAGCGGCCCTGGGGAGCCTTTGGGCTTATTTCTGTGTTTGATTTTCCCGGAGGATCTTGTTTGCATCCAGCCCCAGCGACCCACGAGGTCCCAGACTGCTGGAGTGCGGAGGAGGAGGCTGACCGCGAGGCCCCAGACAGTTGGAGTGCTGAGGAGAGCTGAGGAGGAAGCTGCCGGGATGGCCGTCCTCCCAGCCATGCTCCCCCCCAGGCGTGGGGCTGAGGTCAGGCGGGCTCACTTCCCTGAGAACACCCAGACGGCACCTGCTGACCTCAGTGCAGCCTGGCCCTGTGAGGCGCCTCCCCTCAGCTCTCAGACGCTCCCTCATTTCTTTCCCTAAATGGACAGCCCACCCATGGGCTCTGGGAAGAAAGTGCAGCCGCCCTCTCACGGGGACACCCCGAGGAAGGGAGGGCCCGGATGATGGCCCCCCCCCAGGACTCCTGGAGTCGGGGCTGCCCCCTCCTCAGGGAGGGGCCTGCTGGTGGCATCTGAGGAATCTGAGGGGTGTGGAATTACTGGGAAGAGAGAGGTTTACTTCTATCCTGTTTTTCTGCTGTGGGGCTGCAGATACTGGGGTGACTCCGTTCAGGGCCCCCGCTTTCCTGTCTGTCCACATTGGCAACACTGGACACACATTTCCTCTTTTTCTTTCTCCCTCCCAGGCTAAACAGGGGCTCAGCAAGAGCCAACGGGTGGAAATGTCCAGGAAGGCAGGGCCATGCTCTCCCCCAGGGACAGAGGGGGGCCACATATTTCCCGAGAACGGAGACGTGGCCGGGGGCCAGTCCAGATGTGCCAGCTTCACTGCTGCTCAGGGGACGGACTCCGGGCCCCGGCCGCCTGTGCTCCGCCCGGCTCCCGAGGACCAGAGCCCACTGAGCAGCACACACCTCGCGTGCGCCAGGGACCCCGGGCCCGGCGGTGGCCCTCACCTGCGGCTCGCACACACGACCCGTCTAAAACACTGATTCCTTTATTTCAGGCGCTCCTGTTTCGGGAGAGGCTGGCCCCTGCTGCCGGCGGGCCCATGTGGGACCCCTGAGCCCGCTGGCTGAGCCGGGAGGGCCCTTCCTCCCTCCTAGGCGGGTGCGGCCCTCCGAGGGAGCCCAGGCCGCCCCCGCGGGGGCCAGTCTCTGTGCCCGCCGCGCTGCCGGCCTCTGAGGTCTTCGTGGAGGTCGGGAGCAGGCCCCTCGCGGGGCGCCCCTGCTCCGACCCCCCACGGGGATTCTCCATTTTCTGACCAGATCTTGAAAGGGCTGAGAAGGGCAGCTCCGGTTCGCCAAGCTTCCCTGACTCAGGCCCGATGTTTCCTCCTGGCTGGGCTATCAGGCAGAGCAGGGTCCCCCGGAGGCCAGGAGCTCACCTGCTGCTGGGCCCTCCGGTCCCCGGCCCAGCCCCCCAGGGCCCCCAATGGGTTCAGCTCCCAGCCGGGGAAGGCACTGGCCTCCGCGCGGGGAGCCGGGCGGGGGTCCTCGGGCCGCCTGAGAGCCGTCCTCCTTCTCGCCCCTGGCCACGGCGGCTGGCCGACACCGTCTCTTCACGTCTGTCGCCTGCAGCTGGCCAAGACCCGGAAGCTGGCCGGTCCTCGGGCAGTGGCATGGGGACGCGGGGGAAGCGGCCGCCCTCACTTCCTGTGCGACTGGCTGCCTGGAGAGAGGGCCAGAGCGGGCTGCAGGGCCGAGCGGGCTCGGTACAGAGCCCCTCTGTCCCACACAATCCTGCCTTTCAACCGGCTCTGCAAACAGAATAAAGAGACCCGTCCCTCCCCGGGTCACCTGCGCTGCGGCCAGGGCCCTAACTCGTTTGGCCGGGCTTCCCCACAGGAAGCAGGCTGACGGCGCGGGGGCTCAGAGTTTCGCTGGCAATCGCTCATGTGCGGGAGCTGTCCAGGCCGGCCAGGGTCACCGGCTGTGTGGCCAGGTCGGCTGCTATTCCCGCCATGGCTGTTAGCCGGGCCTGGCGGCGTCACAGAGGCCTGCCTGCCTCTCCTGTCCCAGCCGTCCTTGCTGCTGGCATGTCCTTGGGTTGTGGGAAGCTGTTTGACCTGTGGCAGGTGGGGAGAGGGGGCTGGGGCTGCCGGGGGGGGACGGGAGAAGAGACAGGGCCCGCTAGCCACACTGTCGGTGTCCCCGGGGAGCCAGGGCACCTGTGGCCAAGAGGAAGGGGGGCTGGAGTCACAGCAACGCGTACATCCTGAGGGTGACTGCTGGCTGGCCGACAGTCTTTTGTTCTGCTTTGCTTTTATTTTCCCTCATTTTTAGTAAGCCCTTTAGAAAGATCCAGGCTCAGTTTGGGGGTGGGTGGGGCTGGTCAGTGGTGGAGTCTGGGAAGGACAGAGTGGGGGGAGGTGTGGTCTTTGCAGTGAGCTAGAGGGCTGGAGGGGAGCCCTAGGAACAGAGTGGACCCCTGGGACCTACCCACGTGCCATCCCTGCCTCGAGGGGGCACCTGCTTGTGCATGATGTCTCTAGACCTGAGCAGCTGCTGGGCCCAGTGGGACTCAGCTGACCATGGTGGCCAGAGGGGTCTTAGAGCAGGCTGGAGGGTCTCACTCCAGCAGCTGTGTATGGGCTAACAAGGGCAATGTAAAAACAGAAGGATTAGCCAAGAACTGGACCCCAGGGCGAAGCAAACGGCCAGCCAGGGGCTGGTCCTTCAGGGGAGGGGGCTGGTGGGCGAGGTGGGCTCAACGCCCCGTCTGGGACGACTTACTGTGCAGGCCCCTCGTGGAGGACGTGCTGGAGCCGGGGCGGCAGGCTTGCTGGGGGCCACAGGAGGAGAGCTGAGGGGCCAGAGCCGAGGCCTTGGCCTTGGGTGGGCTCGGGTCCAGGACCTCCGGGGTGCGGGGCGTCCGCGGCCTGCAGGTGAAGGCAGCGCCTTCCCTGCAACAGAACGTCACTCTGAGGTCGCAGCCAGGGTAGGTCGGGGGCTCGGGAGGACGAGGCCCCTTCCAAGCCCAAGAGGTGCCCGCGGGTGCTGTCCTGGCCCCTGGAGCTTGGGAGGTCACTGAAGTGGTGGGTCAGAGGGCCAGCAGCGGCCGGCCGGCAGAGCGCTGTCCCCAAGGCTGGGGACCACCCCGGAGCCTCACCCGGCCCGGGGGAAGTGGGGCTGCGGCTGGTCCCTGCTCGGCTGGTTTGACGTGGGAGATTCCGGGGACCACAGCGTGGGCGGGGGAGCGTGAGGGGCTGTAAGGTGTGGCTCCGGGAGAGGCACAGAGAGGCGGCCTGCTGGCCGGG